TAACACATATCAACCAAAAATTGGACTTCAAGTTTAAATAGTAATTCCAGTTTTTTTATCAGCATGCCAAGAAAACTATAGCATTTAAGGATACCTGGCACTCTGAAAATATAACATCCAAAGCGTGTCTATCAAAAGTAAACTCCATAATTTTTCCAGAGAAATATTTTATTTAGAAGTTTTAAGAAGGGACTCCTGGTTGGCTAAGCGGTTGAGTGTCTGCCTTTGGCTCGGGACAGGGTCCTGGAATACCAGGTTTGAGTCCTGCATCGGGCTCCCTGCATGGAGCCTGCTTCTCCCTCCGCCTGTGTCTCTGCCTGCCTCTCTCTCTCTCTCTCTCTCTCTCTCTGTCTCTCATGAATAATAAATAAAATATTTAAAAATAAAATAAACGTTTTAGGAAAACAAAATAAAGTCTTAAGATACCTCTTTTCTTTGCACATGGGAAATAATGTTGTAAGTTCTATAAGACATAAATAGTGATAAAATTCTTGTAACATTTTATAGCCAACATGCTAAAATTTTAAGGATAAACGCATAATGTTTTAATTTTTACAACTGATTGAAATCAGTCTTGTTTTCCGTCTTGGTGCTTGATTTTTTTGCTTCTAAGCAGACATGAAAAAGCAGTGGAAATCAGAACAGCAAACTTCTGATTTCTGATGACAACTATAATTGTGTTTCCTTCTAAATTAGTTTTTAAAAATTTCCCTCTACTTTTCTTTCTTAACATAAAATTGAAAACATACTACAGTTTTTTTTTTTCTTTCCACTCAACATTTTCCCAGGTCTTTACATATCCTCCAAACATAATTTTCAATGGCCATGACTATATTCTACAGTAATATCAATTAGTTGTTGTCTATATTAGGGATTTTAAATTGTTTTCAATCTTTTGCTCTTATTGCTGAAATGAAAATTCCTATGAATAATTATATTTACATTTCAGGTTATTTTGGATAAATTCCTAGAAGTTAATTTACAAGTTCAAAGAGCAAGAACATTTGTATAATTGCACAAAACAAATTGCTTTCCATAAAGATTATGAAATGCATACTTCCATCATTCTTTGAAAATGCCAATTCACTGCATATCCACAAATAATAAACATTTTTAAAAACCTGTCCATTTTAAATATCAAAAATATCCCATTGCTCTAATTTTTTTAGAGATAGAATTATAAATACTAAGTATAAAAATTGCTCAATCTTTTCAAGTGGTCTGTGTCCTTTTTTACCCATCTTGCATTACAATGTTGTTTTTCTCATATTAAACTACTCTAAGGGCAGCCCAGGTGGCTCAGCGGTTTAGCAATCTCATGAATAAATAAATAATTTTTTTTTAAAGATTTTATTTATTCATTCACGAGAGACACACAGAGAGGGAGAGGCAGAGACATAGGCAGAGGCAGAAGCAGGCTCCATGCAGGGAGCCCGACGTGGGACTCGATCCCGGGGTCTCCAGGATCACACCCCGGGCTGCAGGAGGCGCTAAACCACTGCGCCACCGGGGCTGCCCAATAATTTTTTTTAAAAAATAAAATAAAATAAACTACTATAACTCAATATAAAAGATATAAACCTTGCTTATGACATCTAGAAGTTTTTATATTTTACGTTGTTCAGTCAACCTTCCCCTTGTGATTTTCCACAATTTTATGCTTAGAAAATCCTTTCCCATTTCAACCTATTGACATATTTTCTTTTAGTTTTTTGTTTCATTCGACATCTATATTTTTTCTTTTTTTTTTTTTTTGACATCTATATTTTCAAAACACCTGGAATTTATTTTTGCTATGGTATAAGGATGATGATTTAATATCTGGTAGCATAAGAGCCCATTAATCATTATTTCCAAAATTTTCCTGCCTCTTTTTCCAGATTAGCTTTTGAAATCACTTAGGTTATTCTTCCCTCCACCCCCAAAAAATCTCATTTAGATTCTTACTGAAATTGCAACTAAACTATAAATTAAAATTAAGGAGAATATATAGAAGAATGTTGAATAGTGGTGCTGCCAGGCGATTATCCCATAGAAATGAGACGGTCATAGAAATACTTCCAGTGGTGTATGTATTTGTTTACACCAAATACATAGGCTTTTTGTTTCAGATAGTATTTTTTTAGAAGTGTATTAGAGAACTCACCTTCCATTTGTTACAGAATCTTTAACTGAATGTCAATTTTGTATTTTATCAAATGTCTCTGTAGCATTTCTGGGATTCCATGTACCATTATGCTTTATTCTCTAGATCTCATGTATAAAGATGTTTTTGTCTTTAGTTCCTGTCATTAAGTCCTACTCTTAGCAATGTAGTCTTCTTTAATATGTGGTTTATTTGGGGTTGCTTGTGCTTTAGTTAACATTTTTACATATTGATATTTCTAGTCTGGAGTCTTTCTGAAGATACTTTTTTTTGGATAATTATTAAAATTTCAATGATTACCCATTTCAATTAGATGTTCAACTTCTGCATTTCACTTCCATTTTCCCTGAATAATATTCATTTAGAGATTTCTAAATCGGAGTCTCAATTTTTAAAATCTCATCTGCATTTACTGTTCATATGAAATTCAGGTTTTTGAATTTGGCATATTTATGATTTCCATTTTTCTTTTTGTTAAGTATCTTAAATGTTTGTCTCTATATTTCCCGTCTTGCTGTGTCAACCAAGAATTAGTTATTTGACTTAACCAAATCTTTTATTCTAATCCATTTTCATTTACTTGCAGAATGAATCTTAAGTTGTTTTGTGTCATGCTGTGCTATTAACTCACTTTTTAAAGCGTCTATTTCCATTCATACTGTGAAACCTATCTTGGGCAGACTGCTATGAAGTGTCATGCTTTCCAATAGTCTATTTAATTAATCAAAAAAGTCATTATAACCTTACTCTACTGGAATTTTTAGAACCTATTTTTTAAAATTTTGTTAATGTTTCAGGAAGCAATCGACTAACTAGATCTGGTGTTAGGAAATTAGAAAACTACTTTGTGTTTTTCCAGAAGGCACTGCTCCAGTATTTCATTCTTAGCACCATACCAGCTGAACACTTCAGAATAAATTAAGTGTGTTATAGGGAGAAAACAAAATGGGATGAAGAAACAAATTGAATGCTGGAAACTATAATGTTTAACACAGTGGGAATACAAACAATTTAATGAAATTAGGAAATAATACACTTCAGAAGCTACATGTTTCTCTTTAGAAATGATAATCTAATTGTGGCAAAACTCAATATTCGTGCATTCTTGAAATTTGCCCAATTTTTCTTATTAGCCCATTACATTTCCTAGTATGTTATTACCATAATTTGGCTTGCTTTTTCCTATGTAATTTGTGTATATTTTTCAGAAATGTTGATTAATGGGGCATCTGGGTGGTTCAGTTGGTTAAGTGTCAGACTCTTGATTTCAGTTCAGGTCATGATCTCAGGGGTTGTGACATTGAGCCCCATTTCGGGCTGTGTGCTAGGTGTGGGGCCTACTTGGAATTCTCTCTCCCTCTCCCTCTTCTCCACTCCCCTCCATACACACATGCACTATCTCTCTCTTAAAACAAACAAAACAAACAGAAAAGAAATCCTGATTAAATAGCTCCCCACTGTGCCCTATGAAATTCATACAGACATTCTTATGAAAGTACTTTTTTGAAATGAGTTTTCCATATTACATGTAGGTGGGGAGGAAAGGCTTTTCTAAAAATGTTAAATATATTTAATTTTTACTCCTGTGATTTACCAAACCCATAATCACTCTACTAGTCAATAGGTGCTCTTATTCTTAAACAGAGAACATCTCATTTAATATAGGAAGCCTCTTGAAGTTACACTTTTCCCTCGGAAGTCTACATTTCCCTGACATCCAAAAAATAAGTAATCCAATTAAAAAATGGGCAAAAGACATGAATAGATATTTTTCAAAAGAAGATATACAAATGGCCAACAGACACATGAAAAGATGCTCAACATCAGTCTTCATCAGGGAAATACAAATCAAAACTACAGTAAGATATCATCTCACACCTGTCAGAATGGTTAAAATAAAAAACACAAGAAACAGAGTGTTGGCAAGGATGTGGATTAAAAGGAAACCTCTTACACTGTTGGCAGGACTGCAAAATGGTGCAGCCATTCTGGAAAATGCATGGAAGTCCTTCAAAAAGTTAAAATCTGAACTACCATATGATCCAGGAATTACACTAGAGGTATTTACCCAAAGAATACAAAGATACTAATTCAAAGGGATACGTGCACTCAGATAGTTATAGCAGCACTATCAACGATAGCCAAATTATGGCAACAGCCCAAGTGTCCATTGTGGTATATACTTGTGGTATATAGGTACAATAAAATATTACTCAGCCATGGAAAAAAATGAAATCTTGCCATTTGGAACAACATGGTTGGAGCTAGAGAGTATTATGCTAAGCAAAATCAGCCAGAGAAAGACAAAATACCATATGATTTCACTCATATAGAAATTTAAGAAACAAATAAGGAACGGGAAATAAAAGAGAGAGAGAGGCAAACCAAGAAATGGACTCTCAACAACAGAGAACAAACTGGTGGTTACCAGAGGGGAGGTGGGTGGGGACAGGGGATGTGGATTAAGGAGGGCACTTGTAATGAGCACCGGGTATTGTACAGAAGTGCTGAATCGCTATACTGTACAGTGGAAACTAATACCATGCTGTATGTTAACTGGAATTATTTAAATACAAACTAAAAGAAAGTTGTCTACATTTCCCTTTCAGTGACCATAAGAAGTACAGATTTCTCCACACTTTTGAGATATTTGAGCAAAGACATAGGTAAGCCACTTACATTTTTCATGATAAAAGCTAATACACACACATACACACACACACCCCTCTCAAATAGGAGTACTAGAATAATTTCTAGAGATTATAAAACTCTTACTGTCAAGTATGCAATCACCATGACACAGGGAGAGTTTAAAAGTAAGATGGGAGAGCTGGGGGGCTAGTAAACGTCTTACCTGCTTTCCGTCCAGTGTGCAGAGCCTCTTGACCACCCCTGAATCTAGTTTAATGGCTTCGGTGATATCTGTCAAGACCTGCTCAAAGGAATGAGCAGTCTTCTTATTTAGAAGGATCCGCACAGCTTTTCTAGGCTTCACTCCACTTCGAATCACAGTCACTAATTTGGGTTTGATGAAATCTTTACTTTCTTTCACTTCACTCTTCACGGAGGAGGGAGCAGCCAAAGCTCGGGTTGTCCCACCCTTGATGTTCACAGACCAGTTCGGGTTAATATTTTTGGTGTAATCAACTTTACGAAATGGTTCATTTGATGCACACACGTAACTCTCACCTAAAAAGCAAAAAATCAGTTTAATTAGCATGATTATCCCCACCACAGGAGCACTGTTTCTTAAGAACAAAGGCTGGAGACCCATTAAGTGAACTCCTAAACTTAACAGGTTCACTGAAAGGGGGATTCACATCCTTTTCCTTGGCATTCTGCATACTACCTTCCCTTTCTATTTAAACATCTGGATTGGTTTTGAGAGAGGGAATAACACACATTACAGAACGAAAGCACTAGACAAATAGGAAAGACTTGGGCTTTACTCTGATCAAATACATCACCCTGTATAATTCCTCTGCACTTTGGTTCCTATTATCATTGCCTATGACTTGAAGCTGTTGAATCAGCTGAATTCTAGAGTACTTCCTAATCCCCAAACTATTCACTAACGTTAACTTTAAAAAAAAAAATCTCATTCTAGAATAATTATATCACAAAATAATATATTCATAGAAAGAAATAAAACCATTTTTCTCCTTTCAACTACAAATTTCAGTCCCAACTGAAGAATGATGGCTCCATCTTCACATAGCTGTCTAAAATATATTTAGTTGTAGTATCATTTACTCAATGAAGTACTACAAAAATGAAGAAAGAGGGATCCCTGGGTGGCTCAGCGGTTTCGCGCCTGCCTTTGGCCCAGGGTGCGATCCTGGAGTCCCAGGATCGAGTCCCGTGTCGGGCTCCCTGCATGGAGCCTGCTTTTCCCTCTGCCTGTGTCTCTGCCTCTCTCTCTCTCTCTCTATGTCTATCATAAATAAAAAAATAAATCTTAAAAAAAAAAATGAAGAAAGAGTTTTGACAGCTCGAAGAAATTTACTTCAGGCATTTTATTTCTTAATTAAAGAATGTGAATTTAAAATAATTAGTTCAAATAGACAATCTTTACTATATCTACTTATAAGGAAAAGGATATTAAATAGTTTACAACAATGTGTTTGGGCTCATCGGTTGAGCCACGGACTCAATCTGGATCAGGTCATGATCCCGGGGGTAGCCCTGTGATGAGCTCTGTGCTCAGGGGGGATCTGCTTCTCTCCTCCTCTCTCTGCCCCTCACCCCATGCAAGCAGGCTCACTCTCTCTAAAATAAATAAATCTTGGGGATCCCTGGGTGGCTCAGTGGTTTAGCACCTGCCTTTGGCCCAGGGCGCGATCCTGGAGTCCCAGGATCGAGTCCCACGTCGGGCTCCCTGCATGGAGCCTGCTTCTCCCTCTGCCTGTATCTCTGCCCCTCTCTCTCTCGCTCTCTCTCTCTCTCTCATTAATAAATAAATAAATCTTTAAAAATAATAAAAAATAAAATAAATAAATCTTTTAACAAAATAAAAATGTGTTCATTATTCATGCTGCCTTCTGCTTAATTTTTATTGAGTAAAACACTAAAACTATACTATTTATCCATTGGTTTACTAACTCAATGTTCATTACTTTTAAGTTCCAAAATTATAGTTGGAAAAATAATGATTTTTATAATTATATGTTGAAAATCATAATTCATAATTATATGTTTAAAAATCATAATTTTTCTTTCAGGAAACTCAGAAGTCACCCAATTCTTTTATCCTCACCTGTTTGGCATACAAAGCAAGAGGATTACACGCTAAGATTTTCTCTAAGATACCCTCTAACTCAAAAAGAATCAGGTACTTTTTCACATATTCAGTATAACAGTCTCACACTTAATAGAATAATTATATGATACAAGCCTTAAGTGCTGTTCATGCTTAAAACGAAAATAACCAAAACAGTAAAAGGCAATTCCTGAGGAAAATTAATATAAATATCATATTTAACTATTATCAGGATGTTCTTAAAATCCTGATGAATGGAGAACTTAGAGACTCCCAAAGGCACATGAACAATTCAGTAACAGATCAGGCATATAAGAAGGGCCTAAAAAGAGGAGTAATGCCTTCTATTTAAAGGCAAAATTAGGCCACTGTCCAAGAGTCACAGGTTCTACTGCTGCTTCCACACCACTAATCTGAAAGCTAGCACAACCATCGCCATTTAGATATAGATTTTCCATCTCTGTAGGTTTATCTAAATGACTTTTCTCAGTGTAATCATCTGGGAAAATGGCATGTAATTTCAAATAGATATGAATTTAATAAAATAGCACTATACATCACATGCATGTATTTATAAAAAGCAAAAATAAACACTTGTGATTTTGCTTTAATTTTATAGAGAAAACAAGACTCGTGTTGCAAAGCTCTAAATAAAATTTAATTACATGCTCTGATTCAAAATATTAAGATGGAAGAAGGAAAAGGAAATTTCAGTAAAAGACAGTAATTTTTTTTTTTTTAAGGGCAGGGAGCTGTCAGCTGAGGAAAAGCCTTTTCTCAGTATAAAGGGAAAACACAGTGCTAAAAAGAAACAAAACAGGAACAAATTTAATATGTCGGATTTCCTTGATCAACCCTGCACAGTTGACATATCAACGAGATGAGCTGCCTTTTAAATTCATCTGTATTTTGCCTCTTTATACTGGTTTAGGACATCAGAATGAAAATAGGTAAAGGATGTCTGTCTTTTGGGCAATTTACATGTTTAATGCAATCCCTATCAAAATACCATGGACTTTCTTCAGCGAGAACAAATTATTTTTTTTTTTTTTGAGAACAAATTATTTTAAGATTTGTGTGGAATTAGGGATCCCTGGGTGGTGCAGCGGTTCGGCGCCTGTCTTTGGCCTGGGGCGCGATCCTGGAGACCCGGGATCGAATCCCACATCGGGCTCCCGGTGCATGGAGCCTGCTTCTCCCTCTGCCTGTGTCTCTGCCTCTCTCTCTCTCTCTCTCTCTCCCTGTGACTATCATAAGTAAATAAAAAAAAAAAATTAAAAAAAAAAAAAAGATTTCTGTGGAATTAGAAAAGACCCCGAATAGCCAGGGGAATTTTAAAAAAGAAAACCATATCTGGGGGCATCACAATGCCAGATTTCAGGTTGTACTACAAAGCTGTGGTCATCAAGACAGTGTGGTACTGGCACAAAAACACACATGATCAATGGAACAGAATAGAGAACCCAGAAGTGGACCCTCAACTTTATGGTCAACTAATATTCCATAAGGGAGGAAAGACTACCCATTGGAAGAAAGACAGTCTCTTCAATAAATGGTGCTGGGAAAATTGGACATCCACATGCAGAAGAATGAAACTAGACCAATCTCTTACACCTTACACAAAGATAAACTCAAAATGGATGAAAGATCTAAACGTGAGACAAGATTCCATCAAAGTCCTAGAGGAGAACACAGGCAACACCCTTTTTGAACTTGGTCACAGGAACTTCCTGCAAGATATATCCATGAAGGCAAGAGAAACAAAAGCAAAAATGAATTATTGAGACTTCATCAATATAAAAAGCTTCTGCACAGCAAAGGATACAGTCAACAAAACTCAAAGACAACCTACAGAATGGGAGAAGATATTTGCAAATGACGTATCATATAAAGGGCTAGTTTCCAAGATCTATAAAGAACTTACTAAACTCAACACCAAAGAAAACAATCCAATCATGAAATGGGCAAAAGACATGAAGAGAAATCTCACAGAGGAAGACATAGACATGGCCAACATGCACATGAGAAAATGCTCTGCATCACTTGCCATCAGGGAAATACAAATCAAAACCACAATGAGATCCCACCTCACACCAGTGAGAATGGGGAAAATTAACAAGGCAGGAAGCCACAAATGTTGGAGAGGATGCGGAGAAAAGGGAACCCTCTTACACTGTTGGTGGGAATGTGAACTGGCGCAGCCACTCTGGAAAACTGTGTGGAGGTTCCTCAAAGAGTTAAAAATAGACCTGCCCTATGACCCAGCAATTGCACTGTTGGGGATTTACCCCAAAGATACAGATGCAATGAAACGCTGGGACACCTGCACCCCGATGTTTATAGCAGCAAAGTCCACAATAGCCAAACTGTGGAAGGAGCCTCGGTGTCCATCGAAAGATGAATGGATAAAGAAGATGTGGCTTTTGTATACAATGGAATATTCCTCAGCCATTAGAAATGACAAATACCCACCATTTGCTTCAACGTGGATGGAACTGGAGGGTATTATGCTGAGTGAAATAAGTCAATCAGAGAAGGACAAACATTATATGGTCTCATTCATTTGGGGAATATGAATAATAGTGAAAGGGAATATAAGGGAAGGGAGAAGAAATGTGTGGGAGATATCAGAAAGGGAGACAGAACATAAAGACTCCTAACTCTGGAAAACAACTAGGGGTGGTGGAAGGGGAGGAGGCCGGGGGGTGGGGGTGAACTGGTGACGGGCACTGAGGGGGGCACTTGACGGGATGAGCACTGAGTGTTATTCTGTATGTTGGCAAATTGAACACCAATAAAAAATAAATTTGTTATAAAAAAAAGGATGTCTGTTTTTTAATTTGTTTATGTGTAGTTACAGATACATTTTAATTCCTTCTCTCTCCTCCTCCCTTCATACTGTTTCTATTAAAATCTCCTACATCAGTTCTATAATATGTAAAGTTTTGAACCAGCAGATACCCATGTTGGCATCCTTGGCATACCACATTTCAGCACAATGGTTCAAGACACAGTTTTGAGGTCACACCTGTGTTTCCATATACTGGGCACATAAAGCCCTGCAATAGAGAGGTCATACCTAGGTAACCACAGCAACCAAGATACCCAGGCTAGCTTCCTTTGTGATGTCCCCACCCTGATCAAACAATCTCCTGATGGTAATTTTGTCAATTACATACATTTGCCTATTAGGAGAGAACATGTTGACAAAACAATTTAAGATTTTGGTTCCTTGGGTAGTTATAGCTCTTGCTGTTAACCAAACAACAAATTATTATTGTTAGGTGCTAAGCACCTGTAAGATTGATTAGAAGCAATCAGCCGCCCTTCAACCAGATTCTTGCTACTATAGAGATTTGTTATTCCCCCCCCCCCCCCAACTTGTCACTTCTTCCTTCCCATCCTGGTAGGAACATCACTTCCTATTGAA